GTGAAGACACAGACAATTCCGCCATGTGATCCCAGTCGTTGGGGGTGGGGGGAAGGAGGGTTCCCTCTATCACACTCTGAAATGATCCTGTCTGGGGTGGCCCTGCTCCTGAGCGGAGGCCAAAGCGGAACTCATGCCTGGGCTGAGTTCCCACCTCAGCCCTGAAGCACCTTTTTCATCTTAGTAGTCACAGTAACTGCTATCTGTCACCACGTCCTCCATCCAGAATCAGGGCTGAGGATTCTGTAAGCAGCTGTGGCCGCAGCTTCACATTAAATTCCTATGACAGCCCTTTGAGGCTGGGGTTCGGCTATGGGCACTAATGTTGCTTTGAGGTTGGGGTTCGGCTATGGGCACTAATGTTTCGGGGCTGCCGAGCTCCTGTAACCACTGTTTACTCCACTGCCTCTCCCTTCCTGCCTAGCTTCCTGGATCCCCGTCAAACAGAGAAAACCCTGGAGGCCTATCAGGAGGGCCCGGGATTAATTAAGGATGAAGGGTAGGGATCACAGCTGAAGAGCTGGGCGGTTGACCTCACCGGGAGGGAGATTCATGACTCCGTGGGAGAGTCGGGGCCTCTGGGAAGATTAGGGGAATGCTCAGCAAACTGGGAAACTCGTGTAAATGCTGACAGCATTAGGTCATTAGTGCAGCTGTCACGGCAGAGACATCTCGAAATCTTGGTGGCTTAGCAGAAAGGACCCATCTCGTTCATGTCAGACTTGGGGATGCTAGGGAAATATCTCCAAACGCAGCGGCCTTCCCACTCCGTCACTCCCACGGGCTGAAGGAGTCACCGGGCTCCACCCCGCCGAGGCACTCCAGGGCGCCCCAGAGGGCAGGTTGAATCCTGGGCTGGGTGTGCCCGCTTTCATCTCTGCAGCATGCAGAACCACGCCGAAGCAGAAAATACATCCTGAGTCCTCACCACTGGGGGAGTTACAGAGATGCTGGGAAGAACCAAAGCACCTGCCTGTGCTGGGAGAACCAGGACTAGCCAAAAACTTTCTACCAGGGTCAAGTACGGGCCCTGAGCTGCTTCCTGGCTTCCGAAGCCACCGCGACTTGAAGTGGGCCGTTGCTTCGCAGCAGGAAGAACGGGGGCAGAGTGTCACCGCATCAAACCTCTCCGCTGCAAGCACAGTCTCAACCGACAAGCGCTAGGGATCACAACACAACGGGCCATTGAGAGCCGAACCGGATTAGAACCCGCAGGAGAACTCTCTCTGGAGACCCGCCAGCTTCCGGTTCAGCTCTGTGACCCCCGGGGCCGCCCTCAGTGAACACCCTCATCCGCCTGCTCCAGCTGGAGAAACAGCTTCCGCCTTCCTGTTAGAGGATGCCTTCTAGAAAGTTCTCCATGTTTGGATATGCAAAGACCGTGGAACTCGCCCAAGGCCTCTGAGACGAGGGAGAAGTCCATCTCACTGCTGTTTTCTCTAGGTAATGGTACCCCCCCAACCCCCACCCCCGCCCCTGCAAAACCACCCAGGATTTTAGAGAAGTCAGGGTGACCCTAATGGCAGGAACGACGCAACACATGGAGCGGACCATGCTCAAATAATTTCCACTGTTTTGCCACCTCAGACCGTCTGAGTAACCCAGAGAGACAGAAATTGTCACCCCAATTCACCGAGGTCAGAAGGGAACCACCAAGACACATAGAAATCTCTGTAGCTGCGGGTACTGTATCAGGCAAGGGGAGGAGCCAGCAGAGGACCCGGGGCAGACTGATGACTGCCAGGCTTGGGAGTTTCACAAAATTCCACTTTGAAGCCAGACACAGTGACACTGGCTGACATAATCCCAGCACTCAGCAGGCAAGGCCAGAGAATCATGAGTTCCAGGCCAGCCGGCCCTAGACAACAGAACTCTGTCTCAAAAAAAAAGAGAATAGTGACCTCAAGTTACAGTCAGAGGCCTACCACTTGGTACACCCATGATGTGAGAAAGTCATTTTCTGCCTTCAAGCTTCCTTTTCTCCAAAACTAGGGTAGTCACAGCATCTCTCTGTTGGCTACAGAGGAGTAAGTAGGACTCTCTCTGTGAATCTCTCAGTACAGGCCTGGGTCAGTGAGTGAAGGCTTCCTTACTTCCTGTGTGTAGAAACAGGAAGTGGAGTAGAACAACAAACTCTAGAGCCCAGGAAGGGTAGACAGGTGATGGCAGGGAGTTTCAGTAAGGAGGGAGCTCCCTGAAGGCTACTGAGAAACCATAGGCCATTTCTAAAACAAGGCCTCAAACCTCCTCCTGCAAGAAAAGTAAGTGAAGCCAGGTACAGTGGCACACGCCTTTAATCCCAGCACTCAGGAGGCAGAGGCAGGCAGATAGATGACTGTGAGTTCAAGGCCAGCCTGGTCTACAGAATGAGTTCCAGAACAGCCAAGGCTACACAGAGAAACCCTGTCATGAAAAATAAATAAATAAATAGATAGATAAATAAATAAGTGAATGAATAAATAAATAAATGTAAATTAATCTCTCAGCATGCATTCCGTTAACCTTGTAGTCAACAAAACTAATTGACACCAAGAAGCTTGAGGTAGCACTCCGCAAGGTTTGCCTGGTGCCTTCAAGGGCTCTGGGAGATCCTCAAAGGGAGGAAGAGAAGGCTGAGCGTGTAGCAGCCATCACACCATTTTCAGCAGGGAATAGCGGAGGGATGTTTGCTGAGTGAATGATAGATGGAAGAGTTCCCAGAGACTAGACGAAGAAATTAGCATGGAATTCCAGATAGGAATGGTGAGATTCCAAAGTAAGAAATGGCTGTGGAGAGCAAGGAAGCCCAGACAGAGCTGGACTCTCCTCAGTGTGCCTCACACCAGCTGTGCCACTGTGGACTTGTTGGCCCTGAGGGCCGACTGCTTCACTGGTTGCTCTTGAGCTCTTCTGTGTATGTGTGAGTCACACCAAAGCTGAAAGCATGGAGGTGCCCCGGTCAAGCCGGGCGGCCTCTGCTCCTCACCACATAGCAGCCACTCTTCACCCCTAGGGTAGAGCTTGGCTATGTTGGATTTTTCACACCGTGAAGCTACAGAGCACGAGCTTCTCTCCTCCCGCCTTCCCTCCCCTGCAACTCCTTCCCTCCTCTCTTCTCCTCTGCCTCCATCCTCTCTTTTTTTTCCTAGAAGAAGTTCCCTCCTCTCCTTCCCTCCCTCTTCCACCCCTCCCCTCCCCTCCCCTCCGGTTGGTGGGCATTTGGAGCCAGTCCCGTTTCCCACAGTCCCGTTTTCCACTGAATACCTGTCTGAATACCGAGTCTGCCCGGGCCTGTGCCTGGCTTCAGTCCTGGCTCTTCTCCCCACATCCTGACTCACACCAGGTAGGACGCTCCTTTGAAGTCACTTCAGGGGGTGACTGGGACACACCCCCTGGCAGAGCCTCACCCTGCCAGGGGAAAGCAGAGGAGGCACAGCTGTGTGTGTACAATGACACCCCAATGGGAAGCCACTTGATCAGAAACAAACAAACAGACAGACAAAAGCGGTTCCCAGCACAATCCCCTTCCGTTTCCCACCGTTCACTATTGTGGCCAGCCCTCTCACCCATCACTGTGTTCAGTCTCAGTGGACACAGGTCACAGCAACAGCTGGCCACTTCCAGGGGCCCAGCAATGGCAGGTCGCCTTAATGACTGTAAACCTGTTTCATACGCGGCCTGGGGTGTGACCCAGTGGTAACTTGTTTGCCATGGATGAGCCTGGGGTTCTAGCATCAGCACAGCTTCTACACACAAAGTTTGAGGGAAGCAGACAGACAAACAAAACAGAGGTCCATGGCCAAAATAAGATGTGAACCACAAATGAGCAAGAACCAAGCTAATCCTTTAAATCCGGAAGCATGCACACACACACACATTTTTCCCCCTGCACCACAAGTCAAAGCCACGTTCTCCCAGGAAATACCCAGTCAGCTGTCCGAGCTAGCGTGGCCACTGATGTCTTTACCTCCCAGCAGGACTCTGATAAACTCAGCCCCCCCTCCCCCCATGGTCCTACATCAAAGCAGCCCCTTTCCAATGTCCTCAACACATCACTGTCACCATAGACCAACTTCAGTCAGCTTGTGTCTCATTGCTTTAAAGTTTGGGATGTTCTGACGTCCCAGTCCTCACTCAAAAACTGACTAAGCAAGAAGATACCTCACAGGAACCAGTCACATCGTGCCAAGTGTCCCTCCTGGCTCCCTCAGTAAAGGCTAAGGCTGGGTTCTGATGCTTCCGGGAGAAGGTTCCCTGCCCAGAGTCTTCCCCCCACACACACACACACCAGCTCCCACATTTGTCTAAATTCATTCTCATGCACAGTGGAGCCATTTACCACTGTCAGCAAAATGTCCAAGTGGAGGGACAGACACGACCTGTTGTGCCTTTTAAGCTGAGCTCGGATGGGTCACAACCACATGAGTGTGGAGGCTCCCTGATGGAAGGAGGGAGGGATGGACAGAGGACAGCGGTCCCCCCCCCCCGGCCGTGGGAAACAGCCCAGATCGCCCTAGAGGTTTCAGGCAGCAGTGACAAGGGGGGGCCTGAGCAGAGGAGAGGTGGAGGGGGCCAAGGCACAGCAGACAAGTTTCCTAGGACAGAGCTGCACGGAGCAAGGGCTCCAGCACCGTGAACTGGTTCTTGACTCTACCTGCTCCTCCGCTCCCCACCACCTCAGCCCACCGCCATCCCCAGAGGACTCCCACACCCCAGCTGCGACTCAGTCACACCGCACAGACGAACACCGCTGATGGGTGCTTCCCACCGTCCACAGCACAAAACACAGACTCCACACCTCTGCTTGAAAGGCGTATTACTGTCGGGCCTGCGCCAATATTTACCAACCTTTCTTTTTAAAACGTCTCTTTACACTTATTTGTGTGTGAGAGAGAGAGAGACAGAGAGTATGTGTGTAAGCATGAGGGTTTGTGTGTGTGAGTGTGAGCCCGTGTGTGTCACACACACATACACATGGAGGCAAAAGGACAACTTAACAGGAGTTGGTGTTCTCCTCTTACCACGTTTCCAGGGATCAAACTCGGGCTTGGCAGCGAGCACCTTTGCCTCCCGAGCCATCTGGCAGGCTTCACAATTGCTTTCTGCACCCTCCCCCACACCACATTTCACACTCCAGCCAATGTAAACACTAGCAATTCTCTGAATTCACCAAGCTCATTCCTGCCCCTGGGCTTTTGCACGGAAAGTTGCTTCCACCCATCTCTTCCCTGCCCTTTCACCTGATGGGTTCTGCCCAGCTAGTCCCTCAAGGAAACTTTCCCTGGCTGCCGAGGGCTGTCTTGGGGAGCCTTCCTGTGGGGGCTCTAGTTCCACAGTCTCCCCACACGGCTTGAGAAGTATCTCACTCCCTCCCCCTTGAGGCAGTGAGCCCCAGGAAAGCAAAAACAAGATCCTATTCACTGCCGAGCGCCCAATACCTGGCACAAAGTAGACACTCAATAAACACTTGTCCAGCTATCAAAGGCCTAAATAAATAAACACGGTACAGGCTGACTTCTGGCAGTCAGCATTTGCTATCTGCTTTCAAAACCCATATCCTTGTATTGCCCTCAGACTCCTGGGTAGACCAGAGAAACATGCTTAGACCTTCGAGACTTGTCTTCAAGCTATGGTAAAATAATAATAATAATAATAATAATAATGAAATAAAATAAAAATAAATTAAGATTGCCTCAATTCCATTCCCCCTAATGCACTCAAGGAATGCTGAGGCCTGACCTTACCCCAGAGATACATATGTCATGGTCAGGAGGACAGCAGGGCTCTCTGGGGGACTGTAGCAAGGCTTACAAGGCTGAGATTACTCCCTCTGCAGTACGGCTCCTATTCACCCTTCAAAACCCAAGAGACCTCCTGAAAGAAGTCTTCCCGAGAATCCGTCCCTCCCTTTCCCATTGAAGGTTCTAACGTGGCGCTTGCCAGTCTTCAGCCCAGTGTCCAGCACAGCGTCTAACACACTGAAAGGCTCAACCACACTGAGTGAACAAATATGGGAGTGAGCAGAGCCCAGAATCAGGCTCTGCGGCCAAGGCTGAACGCTGGGCTGCACTGGGTAACAGTCCCAGGGAAGGAGAAGGCTGAGTTACGTGCTGGAAGAGCTCTGCAGGCCTGAGGTCATTGCCGCAAGCCCAGAAATCACAGCCCCAGAGCCAGAGCGAGGCTGGCCATTAAACAGAGCGCTGTCCCCATAGTTTGCTGGTTGGGCTTGGTGATGTGTTACAATATATATATACTGAATGAATAATGAAACGCTGACCCAGGAAGAGCCATGAATGAGGAGGGCTCTGGCGGCCACTTTTAAAAGCAGAGGCACAGCTGTCCTCTGGGGAAGGGACGGGTCTCCTTACCATGTCCTGGGTGTGTGTAGACCACTGTGGACACTCAGTAAGGTTGTCAGAATGGGATCTGCAGAGCACACACATACTCTTTCTCTCTCTCTTTCTCTCTCTTTCTCTTTCAGAATAGAAATACAGTGTAAGTCACTTACATTGTTAATGTATTGTAGCCATGTTGGAAAAGTTAAAAGCAGCTTGCAGAATTCATTGTGAAGACATGTTTTTAGCTAATTTAGTATATGAGGACTCTCGTGTCAATATGTAATCAATACAATAAATAAGATATTTTTAGCTTTTCCCTACCCCGGAGCTTCTGTGTATTTCACACTCACCATGCATCTTCAAATGTTTGGCAGGCCCGTGGCTGACAGTTCCCGTGCTGGACAGTGCAGCTTTAGAAGGTGCCGGCCTGGCCTGCAGGTTTCTAAGATGAATATCCCCTCCTCAAAATGGCCAGAGGAAAGGCAGCTTCGTGGCTGGCTCAGCAGCACCTTCTCCTATCTGTGTTCTAACTGCTTCTTCACGTCTCTTCTGAAACTTCCCTGGTCCAAGATGGCCTCCCAGATGGGGCAGGTGAGGGGGCGGTAGGTTCCTGCTGGACTAACAGTCTGTGGTGCCGAGCTGCGGAAAAGCCTGTGTTGGTCTCCAGATTTGCAGAGTTTTACAGACCACTGAAAGTTAGGTGCTTTCATTTGCCCGGTCCACTACAACAGACCCTGATGATGGGTGGGGGTGGGCAGAACACTTGGTTTCCTCAAGGTTCTGGTGCTCCAGGGTCGGGTTCTTCCAAGCATGCCTCCCTGGCTTGAAGGTGGCAGCTTCTCTCTGTGTCTTTGTGTAGCTTTCCCTCCGGGTGTGTCTGTGTTATAATCTCTTATTACAAAGACAACAATTGTGTTGGCTTAGGACCTCCAGAATAATCCCATTTTAACTCAGCTACCTCTCCAAAACTCTGTCTTGCGCCTGGAGAGATGGCTCAGTGGTCAAGGGCACTTGCTGCTCTTGTAGAGGACCTGAGGTCTGTCCCCAGTGCCTACATAGCAGTTTACAACTGTCTGTAACGCCCATTCCAAGGAATCTGATGACCTCTTCTGGCCACAGTGGGTTCTGCACACATATGGTGCCGTTATAAACAAGCAGACAAAACACTCAGATTGTCTTTAACCCCAATACTCAGGAGACCTCTATGAGTTCCAGGATAGCCTGTTTCACATAACAAATTCCAGGACAGACAGGCCTACATAGTGAGACTCTCAAAGAAAATAAAAGAGAAAGAGAAAGAAAACACTTACATACATAAAATAAATCCTTAAAACCCTCTCTTCATGTATTGTCACACCAAGGTAGGTGCCAGGGTCAGGACCTCAACATAGGACCTTAGAGAGGACCTAGTTCCGTGTGTGATGGAAGAAAAACACCAGAAACCGGGGAAGCCCCCAGAGAAAGCTCTTCCATGGGTCGCTGAAACTCCAGTATGCCAGGAGTGGCAGAGATCTGAAGATTAACATGAAAACAATATTAGAATAAAAACAACAGCCAAGTAGTGAGCAGGTTATGACTACAGCCCTTTACTCATCACTGCTGTGTACATAACGCCAGCAGGGACCCTCACTGGGCCCTTAGGGTGACGCTCCCCATCCTCCTACGCAGCTCCTACGTTGTAATGGCGACATCTTTCTGATTTGGATCAAAGTCCATCCCCTCAGTCTCTCCCCCTTCCTTCCTCTCAAGAAGCTGTTTTCAGCAAAGGCAGTTTACAGAAATCTGTGTTTTTAGAGCTCCGAGGCAGACTGTCCTTCACAAGAAGGACACCTTGCGCTGCAGGACAAGTCAGTTTTGAAAACACTCACAGACGTGTGTGTTCTCAAAGTGCCTGTAATCCCAGCACTGGGATCCCTGGGTCTTGCTGGCCAGCCAGCCTAGCCTGCTTTGTGATCTCCAGGCTCTGTCAAAAAAAAAAAAAAAAAAAAAAAAAAAGACATAAAACTTGTTTAAGTGTTAGGCTGTGGAGACGGCTCAGCTGGTCCGCACCGAATCCAGGAAGCTCCGTCCCAGAGAGCACTTGAGATATGTCATCGAGCTGTGCAAGCTGGGGTCACTGGACAAAAGCTGAAGCTCATATAATAAAGATTAACTAGAACCCGCTCACCCTAAGGAATGTGTGGGTCAGCCAACACCTGTTGCTTCTCCCACTGACATGGATCAAAGTCTGTATGGCTGCTCAACCATGGGCCTGCATTTGCTTGTTTATCTCCGTTCACCCCGAGGGAAGCCGAGCCAGACCAGGACGAGAGTTCACCCTTTCTCAGCTACGGATTGGGCAGAAGTTGCGTGCGAGGCCCAAGGTTATGTAGAGCTGGCAAGCTGGCATCCGGACCTTACCACAAGGAGGGGTATGGCTCCCCGTTCTCATCCTAGCTAACCACGTGCCCACAACAAATTAGTCCCCTCGGCCGGAAACATCGTCACGGTCAGACCCAGTCTTCCATTGCTAAAAACATGGCAAACACTCAGCTTCCCCGGGCGGTTGAGAAGGTAGGAGTGATGTTTGTCAAGGGCTGGTCCAGGGCCAGGCTCCCCCTGGGGAGCACTGAGAAGAGAGACAAATGTGGTTATTTGCTCTCAGACACAAGCACAGTTTTTCTTCTTTGAGACAGTCTCACGGAGGCCAGCGTGGTCTCTAACTTGCTACGTACCCGTGGGTGACCTTGATCTGTGATTCTCCTGCCTCCACTTTCTGAGAGCTGGGATTGTGGGCTTGCACAGCTACACTCAGTCCGTGCAGGGCTGGGCACAATACCCAGGGTCTCCTGTATTCTAGGCAAGCTCTCTACCAATGAGCTATAGCTCCAGCTGCCGGATGCACGTCTATAATCTTGGGATTCTTGCTCCAGATTCCATGTCGGCAGCCCGCTTGAGGGTTTTTGTAGAGGTGCACAGTGGATTAACTCAACCCGCCTAAGAAACTGGGTTTACTTTATCAAGGATAATTCTCTGTGCATTTCCTCCCTGGAAATACCCGTGGCAGCCATGGCACAGTAGAACAGGGTGACGGTGAGAGCGCTCTGTCCTGAAAGGGACCTGACTCAAAGTTTCTGACGAGCAGCTCCCCACCCCTTATTATTATCTTTCTTCCTTCCACTGGGGAAAAACAGCTGACTAAGCCAATGGCTCTCTGCCTTGGCTGTACCCTGTCTCTTGGGGCAGAGCTAAGAGATCAGGTTTGCAATCTGGGCATTAGAGAGCACAAATGGGTCCCCAGAGTGAGAACCCCACCCTGGGCAGAGATGAAATTCACAGCCAACTAGGTAGGAGAAGGCAGGTGTGTGGTGCAGGCTTGGGGTTCAAGAAAATAAATGGGCCTTTGAGGACAATGCTGAGGGCTAGGGTATACAGCCCAAGATACCAGCCCCTCAGAAAGCATGATAGGAACAGGAGAAAACCCTGCCTCTGACCAACAACTTCGGATGTCAAAGCAGACCTCAGACATGAGGACGAAAGCACCGCCCGCCTTCAGCTGAAGACACCTCCTTCATTGTCAGAACCCAGGGCGTCATGCAAAGGCAAGGACTCGCGAAAGCCATCACTTGATGACAGCCACAGAGAGAGCTCTGGGCTTTGGGAAGCAAGAGGCATGGCTCTCTGCAAACAGTACTTCGCCATCTTGGATGTGAAGTCAGATAGCCAAAACACATTAGTATATTATTA